TCTTCTTCTTCTTCTTCTTCTTCTTCTTCTTCTTCTTCTTCTTCTTCATCTTCGCGCTGCAGTGAAGCCTGTCTCAAACTCTTTCCAAGGATCCTGGATTGGCACATTCTGCACATGAGTGATTACCTGCGCTGGGGGAGCAGGCACCGGCACAGGCACCGGCCCTGTTTCCGCTTTGGTCTTGGTGATGGTGTGGTAGTGAGGCCTTGGTTTCAAGCGGGGGTCTCCTTTCAGTCTGATTGCCGAATTGCAAGCTGCGCGGAAAGCACCAGGAGTAAATGTCACCAGGCAGCCGATACTCCACCTGTTTGGCAACTGTTACAAGCTTGTGATTCCTGGACACTCTTCCATACCAAGCAAACTTGCTTCAACATGCTACAACCACACAATCAAACAGAATCAGGACACCCTCAGCCTCAGCTAAATGTCTAAACATGCTTCAAAGGTTCCAAACAGCAGCACCCTGTCGAAAAGGAAAAATGAATAGCATAAAACTGAATGGAATAGCATCACATATGTCGCATTGCAGACATGTTGGTTGTGCCTTCGTGTGGCAGCCGATTTGACGGAGGTAGCAGCAGTAGCGCTGATGCTCCGAGGACCAGGTGTGCTGCCAGTTGACACCTTCGATCTGACAGTCGAAGAGCAGAGCCTGCGAACAAACATACATCGACTAGTATAATACATACATATATATATGGTTATAGATCTTTTTTATTGTTTGGCCACTTATTTATCTATAGATTGTTTAAAGAGGATCTTCTTTTCCCTCCCTCTCTCGGCCTATACTCGATTCCCGGCTGACCAAAATGCGGAGCTACGGTCGACTATCGACAAGCTGAGGCACCCTCATCGCAATCAAAGGCATGAGTGTGCACCATCACCTTGTGCCTCGGTATATAGCAGGCTCTGCTGTGTTGCCAGACTTTGGTGCATATTGGCAAGCACTTTGCCATAAAATGAAGTTTTAGACATCTTATATATTTGTTGAGAACATCTGAGAACTCTGGACCAGCCACGCACTTCGCGTGACTTCTCCCTTGAGGGGCAGGCGTGATAACTTTGCGAGGAGGAGGAGGCACAGGAACCGGCACAATGTGGTCCACCTTCACGTCCCTTGGGAGATCTTGGGAGCTCAGCTCGGAACATCATATCTCAGAATATCGAGACCGCCATAGAATGCCGGGTGTCTGGAAGAAACTAAATGTATATATTATATAACTAGACCAAAAATGACCAAAACAAAATTCATTCAATTATGCAAACACTCACTCATATATATATATAATATACTGCTATATACTGTGTATATATATATATTATATGTATTACTATATGTATATACATATGTCATATAGTCCATTCCATTGTTCACCTGTTGCCATGCAAAGCAGAAACCCGACCGCATGAGAGCACACAAAAGGGCGGGTATCAGCTCGGCCGAAACTTGAGTTATCCAAGGAGGGGTTGCACCAGGTATGAATCTGAGTTCACTCGTGGCTTCACAGGAAGGCGTGCTTGTATAGGATATATAGGTGCATGAACTCGTTGAGCGTAGCTACAACGCACTACGGAGATCGAAGAATGTTCAGGACTCCAGCATGTCCAATCTAAAATGAGATATGCAACTGCTGAAGCCGTGCTTCATGAGTTCCTGAATCATTGTTTGAACTCACTATTGAGCCAAGGATCTTCACGTGGTAGTAGTACCTCGAGAGCATGAAAGGGAAAGCAAGGCCCAGGCACGCTCGCACAAACCACAACACACTCCTCCCAGTGATCCACCCCGCACGCTAGGAAGCTTGCTGGAAGTGGTTTCGGATGTGTTTTTACATGTGTCGTGTTCTTACCTTGGGCGTTCCACTGTATTCCACCCAGCGGAACAACTTCCTCAGTACCTGGGTGCTGGTCCACGTTGTGTGTGACATCTTGTTGGCAGAAGTGATTGTAGCCCTGCCCAGAAACACAAGCACATCTCATGTCTGACAAAAGCTAAACGTCACTTTGACGGAGGCCCTGACTCTTTCCTTCTTGTACAACCAAAACGACCTTTCAGCTTCAATGGCTAATGTGCCCATGTATATTTAACCCTACAGTCTCTACACTGTATTTGTAGGCATATACTCGTGTAGAGTGGAAGTCTAAACTCATATGAACTGAAATTTAAAAAACCGTTCAAACATCATTCGCCTAGCTTCAAGTCACAGCAGTTCCAAGCGGTGGCTCTCTTGTAGACGACATCTGCTCATGTATACGGTTGTATGTTGCGCGTGCCCTTTTCATAGCTGCACTTTGACTTGCAGGTCAAACGGCTCCAACTGTGAAACTGAAAGTAGCAGTCCTCGTATAAGCAAGTTGTCAAGATGTGATGGATGATTTTCCTATCATTCTTCTTTTCAATTCGTGCAATCAAAAAGCCCCACCCCAGCTGCCCTTCTCGTCTTTTCACTCACTCTCATCACCCCAGCGCAACGTCGTGCAGGCAATCCGCTTGCGTGTATGTCTCTAGTGTATTGAGTAGTAACACGGTAAGCAGTTGGCCAAGTGGTCAAAGTTGCAAAGTGGTCTTAGCGGGTCCAGCGCGGATCTAGCGCGCTCCCCTGCCAGTGCGTCAGGCCACCAAACGGCTGTATTCAAGAGCACGCGTTGCGGTCTGCCGGCTTTCCTAGCTTTGAAATCGTTGTACAATAGCTCTATGCCAAGCAATTTCCGTCTCTCTGTGATTCTCGACGGTACCCATGAAGCCTTGTTGCAGCACTTTTGTTTCTCCACCACAGCCTCAGCCGAAGGCGACCAAAACACTGGCTGAGATTTGATTCACCAAATCTAATTCACGTGTAAACGGTATTTTTCCTTAGCACTGCTGCCAAGGGTCTGCTGTTGTGGGAAGCAGCTCACACGACTCCTGATTAATGCCGCACATGGTGAAAAAACAAGACGTCCACGTGGTACCTGCAGGATCTGCAAACGAGGCGCGTCCACGGGGGCTGCCCCCACTGGCCTAAGTTGAGTATTCAAGTGTTGCCTCGGAGACAAAAAATCCAAGTTCTACGGTACAAAAATATTTTGAAAAAAATATGATGTATAGTGTAGAGCACGGTGGTGTGCACCACGGCTAAGGTGTCAACACGTGGCAGCAACACATTCCAAATGAAAATGAAAGTTTCGCAAACTGGCCCCATCCAGGTATACCAGATTCAACACTATCAACACTTCCCATTCTGGAGCCACGAGACTGCCACCAATTGTTCAGAAGGCCAATCAGCAGCAATACCAAGCTGATGCCCAAGCATGCAAAACCACCAACTGCCCCTGCGCTTAGCCTGCGCGGACATTGATTATACAAAAAGTATCTGTGAATACCCATCTGTTGCGAACACTTTTCCAGAACAACTTATCAGCCCAAATGGGTGATCAGACTAGGAGCAAGAAGCTACTAGGAACAACCTATCATCAGCCCAAATGGGCGATTAGAGGTCAAGTTTTCCTTTTGCAAGCCTAAAACTACTGGGCACGCAGCGCAAGCATAGTGCTTCCGTTCAGCGCAAAAGTTGCTTCGTCACATGATTTCTGGTTTTCTGCTTCGTTTGTGCAACGAAGTTCCTCTGGCTCTGTCTGCCCACCCGATGTGCCTCATGCCTGCCAAACATCCACACTCAAAAGAAGTTCAGTTGGTCCAACGATTCACTCAACCCTGACAGCAACGTTTTCGTTTACGGTTGTCTTAAGCAAACTCTGTTAAGCGACTCTGGTCGCAGTATCAGTCTGAAAGAAGGACTGGTTGGCTAATTTGGCCGCAAAGAAGCGCTGCACTGCCTGAGGAAACAACCACCTTTTCCTTCTCAAAGTCACCCTTCCTGGCATGCAACAAAGGTGGAGGCAACACCATCCAACAGCTGCACTTCGCTCAAGCTCAAATTGCCAAATTTGCGTCGGGTGTACCCAGCACCCACCATTTCCATGCTGGAGACCTGCTGATAGCTTCCCCTGCCTGGTCGAATTCAGAGTTGCGAAACAAAAAAACTGTGCGCTGAAGGGCGTTACCAGACCATGCGCCTGCGCCGGCATACACCTGCACTGGTAACCACTCAATTCACTCGATCAAAGCAAGTCTTCTGCCCAAATCACCAGCTCAGCGGCAAGCCACTACTACTGGAATAGGATTCCACTCTCCAGGCAAGGCACCAACTTCTCCTCCGTCCTCACTGCTTCAGGATCCACTTCATAACCTTGAAACTGACTCACAAGAGAACGGTTATTTCTGTAGAGGGGATTGCCTAGATTTTGACAGAAGCCAATTAAATGTATCTGTGTCGTTTCCGTAACACCAACGGTAATCATTAATATGTTTAACTATTGCTTTTCAATGGTAATAATAAACAATATTGCATGTCCACGTGATTCATGAGATCGTGCACGTTGTGGAACCTCACACCTTGAAGCTGCCAAGGAACAAACTCCGCCGCAGCCTTGGAGAGACAACGGTACAGAAATCTTGTTGCTTTGTTGTCAATACTTACAAAACCTGTTTACAACCCATAGAATTCTACGGATACAGTGCAGTAGCAAGCTTCCCAGCCATGATCCAAAATACGACCATCGGCCAAGCAGAACGCGTTCTCTGAGGCATGCACCGGCCATGCTGTAGAAAGGAGCACACAAGTTACTTTCAAAGGAAAGGAAAGGCTTCTGAGCACTCTGGCAGCGAGGAAATCTTGAAATCTTCAAAGGACAAACTGACACGGAAAAAAATGGGAGTGTCGTCAAACCCTGTCGGGGTTCGATTTTAACCCCATGACCCGGTTACAGTCCAGCAGTCACAAGTCTTTGCAGAGAGTCGAGCAGTCCCAGGGACCGTAGACTCTCCATCGAAGAGGGATAGGGAAGGTGGTGCGTTCGTCTCACGGATCCAAGTTACAAATCCAAAATGGTGCAAAAAGGAGCCCCTAGCTTCTTGTTCCTAGTAGTAAGGCCAGGAGCCCCTAGTAGCTTCT